ACCCTTTTTGGTATAATTCCTGATAGCATTGCTCTTCTTGAAGATTAATATTTCACGAGGTGGAGCGAGCGGCCATGTCGCGAGAGAAACACTTGGCGAAAATGGCGGCCCGATTCAGAGGGCGCTGTAAATTCGACTTGACGGGCTTCTTTTTATTCAATAAAGATGAGCCTCCGCCTCTGCAAACATGGATGAAACACACAGGGGTGGCTCAGGTAAAAAAAGAAAAAGGGAAAATATTTAATGCTCGAAGGGGGAAACCAGCGGGAAGAAACCGAACGGTAAACTTCTGAAACACTGTTCAAAAGTTTGTAAGACGTTTCTTAAGTTGCTACTTGGCCAGCTTCCTCCGCTAATTTATGGTGTTCCCGAGCGTTACGTGGCTATGGTGTTTTGAAGATACTCGAAGAATAGATGGGAGAAAGCGTCAGGGGGAGCTTTTAAGTAAAACGATGTGCATAATGAATTTTACTCTCATTTATAACGATCACCTGTATTTTTTAATAAATTTCTTGGAAACTTAATATATCCTTCTTTTAATTTTTTTTTTCTACTGAGAGTTTATGGACTGTCAGAAGTTCTTTCCTAACAAATTCATTTTTAGAATTCACCTAATATACTGAAAATAACTTTCTGTACAGTTTATCAAATTCTCACTAGCTAAAGAAATTTGTATAAGTATTCGCAGTCTGGATATCACCCACCCAACAATTGATAGGGAAAAGGAAGAGTTTCCAGGCTGAGGGTTGTAACGAACGTTTGGGGATTTTCAGCCGCGTCTCGACGGATTATACGAAACACACGGATTGGCCATGGCCGAATCGATACCCCGTTGCGGAATCGCAGAAACGTTAATTCGAGTTGTCAAATATTGAATGTGTCGACCGGTTGAATATCTAGTCGAAATCTGCCGGTTGACAGGGTGTAATCCTATTACCGAGGCTTTACTCTTTTTCTTCCATAGTGTACCGGGTGTGATTCGATTTTCATGGGCATTTGCTACTCTCCGGGGGGTTGTTTGGTGAAACTATGGGTTTATTAAGTGATTTTAGCCCTTGGAAGGCTTCAGCCCCGATTGACCCCCCACTGGTGTTGCGAATCAATAGAGAATTCATTAAACCCAAAGATTTTTTGTTTCAAATAAATTATAAATTATTTTGTGCAATTTTCAAAAATGGACTTCTTTATAACCTAACTTAACCTCACATGAAAAGCACATTACAGCAAATTTTGTTTGGCAATCCTACAAACAGTAATCCTCAATTGCAGCCAGTGGTTCCAGGGTTCTGCTTCGCGAGTTTGTATCATTGCCGGAAGGGCCAGGAGCCATAGATCTTGTTGGTCTCCGTTCTTCGAGATTCGCTCTCTCACGGGGTCTTTTCATCGCCATAAATCTCGCGGTTCACTTTCAGCCCGGATTGCCTTGCCGGACGCGGAACGGGTATCGTCTAATTAGCTTTCTATCCAATTAAGGCCAGCGACGGCGCAGAAACCTGGACGATCGGGGGTCTAACATGTCACCCAAGTGTACAGAGATTGTACGGCTCGAATTCGTGGCTCAACTTTCCTTCGGTTTGATTAAAACCTAACCTTAAAGCTGAAGACATGGATTTATAACCTCAAAAATGACAATCATAGGTGATTAGATTAAATATTTATTTCCATTTCATAGATTATCAGGATCTGAATTACTGTTTCTGAAAAGTAAATTGGAACTACAGGATTTCCAGAAGTAATGATCCGAGAACTGATAATCAGTTAACCTAGAAATCTATAAATGAAATTGCAGTGAAATAATTTAATCTTCCACAGTTATTCATACGATAAATCGAACGAGGTTCGAAGGTATATATACGTAAGGAAATCGCGAAATTATTCACGATATATGATATTCGGGAGTGCCACGTTCATATTTTATTCAGTGCCCATAAATTCCGCGTATTCCATTAAGCCTCTTCGTGAATTAAGTTTGCGAGACGATTTCAGCATTTCCACGAAATTTCGAAATTTTATCCATCATCATAACGGGATTTCATACGAAAAGTTTCATCAACCTTTACCACCTTCTATACCAAAATGAAGAATTAAGTTTCTTCAATAAAAAAATTACCAAAAATTTCTACCGAAAAATCAGTTTCAAATTATTACATAAATTACAAATTTGGCATCCATGAAATTCCTAAAACATCCATTACAATCTACCATTCCTATTATATCCTCTCTCCATACAGTACGAGCAAAAACAAAACTACACCAGTCATCAATCTTCGCCACCCTCGTTTTTCTGAGCAGCTCAAAAATTTGTCAAATCCAAACCAAATTCATCCAGTGAAACCAGACGAATGTCTTACACACAATTCCATGAATACTTCACCGTGTCATCGAGCCCGACATAATAATTTTGCCAAGCAAAAGAAGGGACAAGTAAATGGGAATATGCTTTCAACGAGTCCCAGGTAATAGTATAAGGGATGTTTTTCACGTCTGGATCAAGCTATACCTTTAGGACAGAACATATAAAATATACAGTTCCATTATCAAAAATAAAGCCGAATTTGAAACACCCCCATGTGTCATATGATCTTCCATTGAACATAATTAAATTTTGTCTTATGATATCTTTTTCTACATTATACCGTACGTACACAACACCCTGTATACCAACATGCAAAACGAAATAAAAAAGGAAAGAAATAGTGTTTGCCGTCAAGTTGCACGACGCCGCCACTACGCTCTACAGCGCCACTTCACTCATCGTTCACATTTCCTCCTCGAATCCTTCTTACTCGCGGCATTATCATAATGCCATCGGTCGCTACGTGACAGGAAAGACGTATTATCGCGGCTCGCTGTAGTTTTCCGATCCTTCTAGCGAGCTTATCGTCCTCGCTTTAAAACGAATGCGAATTAGTCGTCCTCGTCTTCGCTGACTTCGTCTCGCGGAGAAAGTTACCATGGTGTACGTTGTTGGAGAAAGGAGGAATGGGTAGCAAGTTGAAGATGAAACTGTGAAGAGGTTAGGTAGGATGATGGTGGTGTCGCAGTGTTCCTTAGACTGTGAATATAATTTGATTCACCGAGAAGAGTGTTTTGTTTTAACAATATTCTATCACTAATCGCATATTCAAATCCTAACCTAAATCTTAGCAGAACCTAACCTGAAATAATCCCTCAGATCCGGCAACGATCCTCACAGTTCTTAAACAGGACTTCATTAATCTAACTTAGCGCCTGTCCAGCACCAAAATATCCGGCAGACCTACACTCCCATCTTCGTGGTCGTTCTCGACAGAAATAGCTTCTCATATCGCGACACATATTCCATTGAAACGTATATATTACGGACATTACAGGGAGGCAGACATTGCAGGCTTACATCGGTACTTGCAAGAATTTTCAAAGAGTTTCCCCTCGGTAACGTCTAAACGTGTTGAATTCCTGTCAGCGGCTCCCGCAGGAACGAGAACGGAAGCGGATAGTTGGCTGGATGCCAGACGACACCCTCCGCTTCTTTCTCGGCCGTGTGAGAGCCACCGTGGCACACACGTAAACCGTGTGCACGGTTTCTATATCTCTCACTCCAGCGGACGCCAAGTAATAATCCTAACTCGCGGGTTAGCCGGGCTTAATTAGAACAGGGGTTAGTGGCTAGCTGTGTTATAGCCGCGTATCCGCCATTCGACACCGGCCACTTCGCTTCATTTTGCACCCTTCCGACTAGCCTTGAACTGACCGGTCGACGTGGTTGATAACGAACGACCAACTGCTCGACTGTCACTTAGCCCATTGTTAAGTTAGTTATCGGTTTAGGTTCGTTGGTGATGGACACTGGATAGTTAAAGTGCACAAAGTTTCCAGGAAACTTTGCTTAAATTACTGTAGATCTGTAGCAGGGTTGAATGAAAATCTAGCGTTCAGCTGTGCAGGGCAGGTCGAAATTGAATTTGAACCACAGGATTGAAATATTGGTGCAAGTATACCAATTTCCTAAGAATTTAACATGTTCATTACCAAACTCGTCATTAAAGGAAGATTGGCTGTAACATCAAAGAGGACATCTCCTTGAATGCCCATGGACACCCTACTGTAGCCCCAATTATCTTTTCCTAAAAAATTTTTCATAGTACCTAAAACTTCACTTGGGAACCAAGGCCCTACAGAAAAATATGTATTTTCAATATCCTAGGCCCCAGGGTGCTGCTAACTTTTTGAAATTTCATATCCACCCTTTCAAAATCACCAGTCTTTTTAGTAACAAAGAATGACTGCCTTATCCAGAGAAGGAGCTGGGAAAAGGACAAAGCCCAGGAAGGGGCAAAGGAAAAGCAGCAGACATCACTGAAGTAGAAGAAACTAGCCCGAGGGGTACGGAAGAAAAACAGCAACATTCAGATCAAGCTGGGGATGAGGAAGACGCCAGCGGGACGCGAAAGAAACCCACGGTGAAGCCTTCTATTGTACGGATGCAAAAGAAAGCGGATCCAAGCTGGCCCGGCGAACGATTCTCTCACGATTTGCCGACAATGGCCGGCCGTGAACAGGAGACTCTGTAGCCGGCTCGATTGGCGAATCAATCGGCCTTTTTGCGAACGCGCAGCCATCGGCTTGGCGTCCGATAAAACGGTCTGACACGCTCTTCAGGGCCGGGACACGGCAAAAATGACCGCGACCAGACACAAAGGAGAATCCTATATATATATAACTATCCTGCGCGACACCGACGACGAAACTGACAAGGGGAGACAGCCGACACAAAGCGCGTTCTTTCGCGACCGGGGACATGCCGGTAATAACTGCACGCTCGCAAATTTCGCCCATCCTCTTTGGACGCGTGGCGACGCGGTTCTTCCAAACGTTTTTATTGGATCCGGATACAACTAGCCAGAAATGAATTTTGAAAGAATCTGAAGGAGGATGTCTAGAATCTTGAACAAAAGGAGCTGAAGATCCTCAGCTAAATTCGAAATTTGGGATATGAAAAAGGAAGATGACGCACTTACATATTTCGAAGCCTCCTTCCTCTGCTGCATTTAATTATCCCGGCAGATAATTGTAGGGTACAACTATCCACACCATTCTATCATCTCGTCCTGAAACAAAGGAAATTCGAAATTGAGTCCACAACTCGAACCCTTTTCTCTGCCAAGTCAAGCTTTAGGTCAAAACATCATCAATCTCCCCTGGTCTTCAGCCTTTCACAGTCATGATCTTACGAGCTGCCAGGCGTCACAGTCAACGATCAAGCGTCTGAAAGAGGCCAGGACACCTAGCTAGCATCAAAGGCGACATGTCAGCCAGTAGCCCGAAACGATTCACCGCGTACAGCAGAAACAAAGGCGGGCAAAAGACGAAAGACACAAAGCCCCACCCTCTTTTAAAGGGGTTAAGCGGACCACCGGCCGACTCGGGTGTCGTAGTTGAACGAACCTGCGTCGCTTCGGGAGGTCAGCTGATCCGCTTTGCGATTTTACGGTTTCTCCGATCAGGGCTGCTGCTAGCTCGAGGACATCGTCGCGATAAAATCGTACTTCACGACGCGATCGTTTGCTGATTTATATCGCGACGAGACGATGTTGCGTGGTCGAAGGACCTTTTACCTTCGGGGCACTGTCAACATGGCTGGGATGACTGACAATGGTCTCGGAGGACCACATTCATTTCAATAACTCAAAGCGCTCAAGGAGCACAGACGTGTACTGATCGTTTCATAAGTAATGATGTCTTCACTTTCAATTTGAATGCATTAAAAAATTATTTAAAATGGCATCTCGGTACAATTACAGAACTTAACTGTCGTCTGCGGAAAGTACTGACGACGATTGCAAAGAAGTATTTATACCACATTTATTTCCTTTCTACTGTGTAACAATGTTCACAGACCAATTATGTTGCACCGTAGAATTCCGGTGAATACGCGCGGAAAATATCCGCTTAGAATCGGGGAACAGCCTCTAGCTCGAAACTTCTTAAGGAACTCGCGTTATGGAAACAATCTGTTTCACGATCGATAATCGCAGTTCCGTGCTTTTAATTTCTCCGTTCACGTTCATTCTACCTTTTTTGTTTGCATGGTTCTGATGTTTCGTAAAGTTCCTCGATCCTATCAGGGAGGATGGAGTTAATCGTTTAACCTGTTAAGCGAGTTTGACTTTTTGGAAGTGCGACCAGAAAAAGGTAGAGCGTATAAAAGCCTGGAAGCATCTGGCAAAATAGTAGCTAGCAGTTGTATATCATTATCAGATTTACTGTTCGTTCTGAAGGATTGCATTCGAATGCATTCGTCTAATGCACTTTATAGGTTAGGTTCATAGGAACAACGATGCATTGATTTTGTAGGTTATGGCATCAATCGAATGTAATGGGGATCAATAGTTACAGCGAAGTGTACGTCTGAAACTGTCACAATGTCACCCCATGCATCTCGTGCCCCACATTTCACGGACCCCCCCTCGCCCCTCTTTGTGTGTGTTCGAATTCAATCATACTCGACCAACGGACAAGCTGAAAAAAAGTCGCAGAAGTAAACGAGTAATCAATACAGGATGCGATGAAAAACCCGTGCGAGCTTTGGAACACACGTTTGAAGCGCATTCCATGGAAAACATGGCGAAAAGGGAGGGTGAAACGAAAGAGGACCAAACGAAAGCGGGTCAACTCGTCTGCGCTGGAAAATATGTAACTTCGCTCGAGTGCATAACTGCACCATCCTACCCTCCTCGCCGCGGAATTCTAATAATTTTTGCGGGTCCGTGACTCGTACTACACCCCTCTATTTACGGGGATGTTCTCGAAACCGGTTTTCCTATTTATACAGGTTTATTCAAAAAGAATGCCAGCGCTTTAAATACTTACAACTTTGTTGTTTGGATACAGAGAGTCCAAATAAAATGTGTACACATTTTATTACCATATAAAGCACAAACATTATTCTTTTGCAATTACTTATTCTCGTCTATAATGAATGAATTTCTTTGAGAAGAGAAAAGTTTGGTGGTTTATCTAATTATATTTTACAATTGTTACTTTTAGATTAGATCAGAATCGTTTTTAGGTGTTCCTTCATTGTGAATGATTCCAGAAGGATTTCAATGAAGTTTAATGGGGTGGATTTAAAGGTACTCGTGAGGGATGAGGGATCCCTTTAGAAATCCTGCTATAAATTTCTACTTTTAGCTGTATAAATAATGTATGTTTAAGAGGATAACGTATGGGGACTTTTTAGGTTATGTACAATATTGCTTAAAATGTTTAAATTAAATTTGAACAAAATCCTGCTGTCCTGATCAATAACTATTTCTCATTTCCATTCATACATTCTTTATTAATAACATACAACCTAACCTATACGAAACACACAATATTCCTCTTAAATCTTCAAATCTCAGTAATAATAACCCCCGCTCCGTCTTTCAAAAAAGTACAACTATCCTTAAAGGATAACTGTCCGTGCAAAAATTCCGTTTAATTCCTTAGTTCGCAGGGATAAAAAGTAAAACGGTGAGTCACCGTCGACGAAACGAGCAGTGAGAAAGAGAAGAAAGGATAGCCACATGCCACGATGGCAGAAATGGACGAGAGAGACGAAGAGCCAGGCCACTGTAGCAGCTACAGGTACTAATTGCTTTAATGAGCAGTGGGCGCGGCTCGTTCTATAAAATTTCTCTCTGTAACGACCAACGTGCGACGCAGAGGCCACCAGTGAAACGGGCTGCGATGGTAGGGGGCTGAAAGATGGTCGAGGAGGATGTGAATGGGTGTGTAACGGAACCTGGAATGGGGAATGAAAAGAGAAGAAAAGAAGAAAAAGGGGGATTATGAAAAGCGAGGGAAGATTGGATATGAAATCGAAGATGTAAGTATTGGCTTGAGAAAATAGGCTACTATAGCTATTGTAACTATTAGGAATCCTCTAGATTGTGACTGCATACTATGATGTGTATTGTGCACTGTATATTATAGTTATCAGGAGTAGATGGTAATATCTGGCTAGACGTTGGTTCTTATACAGAGCTATAGATATCAAATATGAAAATGATAGTGAGAATGTAGGGGTTATGTTAAATATTTGTAAATCTGAGATAACCAGGAAAACCTAACCTCCTAACATACATTAGGCTCTTGTAACTTTTGCGCTTCTTATATTAGGTTAGATTAAGGCATTCTGATACTCGTCTTTCATGCAAACATAACCTCTCAAAGATCAGTCCCAATCTCACAATACATCACAAGATTACTGGGAACAAAGGAATCATGAACCAAATGCATTCGCTAAGGACAAAGAGAATTCAACAATACAGGTGTTAACAGCTCGTATCATTATTCTGAAAAGAAGTAAGGTCACTTTTCAGGTTCAATCCCAGCCTCTGTCTCTATCTCTTCAACGAATTTTCCGTACTTCCACTTGTTTTTCTGTCGATACCTTTCAACCTTTAGTCAAGCAAAATTAGCCAAGGACATCGTAGCTACGTGGAAAGGTGGATTAAATCCGTTGACACCGGTCTTTGCGAGCTGGCCATCAGTGCACAGAGTGCATTATTATTAGCACTAGAATGGAAAGAGTGCCGTAATGGTCGCACTCTTTCACTATCTTTGTCCAGCCTGAAGTTCTGTACCTCTTCTTTCATTCTCTTTCGTCGTTCAACTTCTTTTTCAGCCTCAGCTGCTCTCTTGTGCGAGCGCGAAAGTGCTTACCTAACCTAACCTACCCTCTTTTACTCACCTTCATCCTTCCGCTATTTTCTTCGCGTGTTTTTCCTTCTTCTTCTTCTTCTTCGATGCTGTGCTCCTACGTTTTTGCCAGACCTCGTGCCAATTTTTTATTCCTTGCACCGTTTTCTTCGTTATTCTTTGCCGCCTTCCCTTTTGCCAGGTATTTTTGTTGCATCGTTGGTTTTTTTCTTCGTTCTTCCCTGGTGTTTAGTCTCCTACCTTTCGATGCTCCATTTTTCTATTCTTTTCGTTCCTGTCCCGGTCTTTTTCTAGTTCCTGTTGTTGTTTTTAAGCTCGTTTCGTTTATCTTTTCGGCTGTTAGCTGCTCCTCTTTTTCCCTGCGAAACTTTGTTGCTAGGGAAAGGATTTCTTGTTGGGGTATTTAATTTAGCAGAGTTTTCGGGAAATTTGTGGTTTCACTAGACTTTCGAACTTCCTGGTAGAATCGTTTAGAAGGTTGAGGTGTTAAATGACTTTACTACACAAGATGAACATCCAGGTAGATAAATGCTTCAACTTTAATTGAAGTTTAAGAAATTTGTATGGCAAATTTTTATTAATTATTTATTACTTAATCCAAGCCCTCGGATGTTTCTTCAAATCGGTAAACCGAGGGAAGAAAGTGCTTTTAAATAATTTAAACAGAGATAAATACCCATCGTCTGCTTGTCATCGTCACAAAAGAGCTCTCATGCACGCGTATCACGACTGAAAGCAGCTCGTCTTCGAGGAGGATTCCCCGTTTTGTCTCCTGTTTTTTTCATTTCCATGCTTCCCCTTTCTACTCGCTAGGCCGTTCCAGCCTGCAGGATACACGACCACCATAAAGCAAATCACAATGGCTTCTCTGCTCTAATGCAGATAATAACGAATCGTGATGGCTGTCGCGTTTCAATGAGCTGATTTGGCACGCGTGCTTCCCACCCCTCTTATCTTCCATCGAAACAACGCCTGTGAATTATGGCACACGATCCTGCAGCCAGTTCAAGAATTTTGGGGTTAATGCTAAGAATGATTACGATATCAGGACTGCCATTTTCCTGGAGTTATTTGGAAATTAATTTCAAGTCCTAAAATCGTTCAGCTATAGTTATTTAAAAAAGAAAAAATAAGAATACATAAAGAACAAAATAATGTATTCCACACAGTGTCTAACCCATCAATTTCTGAAGCTATGCAAATGAAGGGGAGGCTGTATTTCGGTTTCATTTCACCGATACTCCTGCCTGTCAATTAAAGAGACCTAACCTCACTAACGAGTGCCCTGGTTATTGCGCGGCGCGTTTAGAACGATAATGAGCAGAGACGAACACGCGCGACTCGTCCATTAACAGAAACGAGACTGTCAGTGTGTGAAGTCGATGTTTCTGTCGAAATCGAT